GGGCCTCTCACTGTTGTGGCCTCTCCCGTTGCGGAGCACAGGCTCCGGACGCGCAGGCTCAGCGACCATGGCTCACGGGCCCAGCCGCTCTACAGCATGTGGGATCCTCCCGGACCGGGGCACGAACCCGTGTTCCCTGCATCGGCAGGCGGACTCTCAACCAATGCGCCACCAGGGAAGCCCGATGTAAATTCTTTTGAAGATTTAAGATCCTCTTGTAAACCCCTTCTTAACTTAATCTGTTTTGTACAGTCTGGCTTGGCACCCTGGGTTTTCGTAGACTAAGACACGCTTCCATGTGCCTTCAAAGGCATTTTAGTATCCCCCTACAGGTTTTTCAGTGCCTCTCCAATTTTTGCTAGCAGGGCATTTATTTTCAAAGCTTTTGCTTTATACACAGTTCCATTCACTTGACAGCACTGTATTTGTCCTATTCTAGTGGGTAATATATTTACAAAGGTCCGACACATAGCAGGGACATGTTAGGAATGCTTGATTCATACTGTGCCAAAGAAATGGCTTGAATGCTATTTTTCAGTATTAGAATTACACTTGGTACTTGAACAGCAGGGTTATTAGGATTCTGAGAGGGAGCTCAGTGGTAGAGGCGCACAGAAAAGAGAATTTCCCAGCAACAGAGGAATGAGCTCTCCAACGTACTAACTTTTGTGAGGGCAGTAGGAATGTAGGATGATACATCTGATTTGATGGAGAGGAGGTAAAGGTAAAACACCTGTGTGGCTGCCGAATCCACCCAGCTTTTAGGATGTAGGTAGTGTGCAATCAGACTGGGATTTAAAAATTCAAGCTCCCTGAGATGCTTGCGGTTGGTAACAGGACGGGATCCAGAAAAAATAGTTTAGTTCTGTTTCTAGGTCAACATTAAGATGATGCAGATGACCTGGATTTTTAACTTTCCGTTCCCGGTTGGATATGTCCATTCAGTCATAACGTTGAGGGAAGACACTGTGTGGGCCTGTGAATAAATGCATATCAGCCACTTGGAGCAACAGCACAAGGAGACCACTGCCAAATAATAAAACCCAACTTAAGGAAAAGTTGCCAATTGCAGAAACAGTATTGGAAAAATATCAGCTCTAGGATGAGAGAAATCACTGCAAAGTTAAATACCCTCCAGCAGGGTAAGATGATGCCTTCCAGGGGCTGAACGGGCACCCTGGGAAGCATACTAGTCTCTGCTGACTTAGTAACAGATTGTGGAAATGTATTCTAGGAAATAATTAGAGCTCATTAATAAAATTTAGCTCTAAGGGTATTTATCAAAGTGCTGTTTTAAAGAATAACAAAAAAATCAGAAGCAATAAATGATCAGCAATAGGAAATCAATTAAAATATTATGGTTTGAAAATATAATACAGTGTGATGCAGCCATTAAAATGACTTGTAGAAAACTGAAAGCATGAAATGATATTCCTATAAGTATGTAATATTTATATGTAATTATAATACAGAAATATAGAAATAAATATGCCTTAAAGGGCGGGTCGCAAGCACTATATAGTGTCTGGGGAGGACATAACCAAAGTGGAAAAGCGATTATCATCTCTGAATGGGAGTGAGTTTTGCTTTCTTCTTTTTATGAATATACAGTTTCTCAAACATCTACCATGCACATGTATTACTTGTGCAACAAGGAAAAAGAAAAGATACAAGTTAGGGGGTGTTTTCTGTTTGTCTTATTTTGTTTTTTACAAACAGGCGCTTCCCCGTTCATCAGGTCTCCTTGTCTGCTCCGTAGGCTCAGTGCTTGGGGGTGCAGCTCATGAAGTTGTGAGTAGAACTTGGTTAGAAATGATTCATGAGCATGCCAGCGCGGTGTGTAGGTCGATCATTTGCGCTTTGGCTGTATCTCAAGCCTGTTCTTTTTTCCCGGACATCGTGATGAACCAGAACTACCATCTATGGGACGTTTGCCCCAGATACTCACCCTCTTCCAGAAACTTTTCATACAGAAACATTTTTCCTTCCAGCAGCTCTTTCTTCTGTAGATACTTTTCCTCCTTCAGATACTCCTTTTCATCCAGATACTCCTTTCCTTTCAGACAATTTTCCTCCTCCTCCAGGTACTGGTATTCCTCCGGGCTCTCTAACTCTTGAAGAAATAAAAATTCTTCCACTGAACTCGCCTCATCTCCCTCAGTACCTTCTTCCTGTGAAGACAGGGTCTGCGTGGAGTGGTGGAAAGTTGCGGAAGGGTGAGGAGGTGACGCTCCCGATGGCTGAAGATTTCTAGCAGACATGCTGGGAGGCATTTAGCAGAGGAAAGCCTTCTGCAGCAGGCGGAGTCACTACTTTGTCACCCTGGCAACCGAGAAAGGAATAAGACCCCGTTAGTCAGGAATTACCTACTGCATGTCGTTCAGTCATTGCATTCCGTGGTCTTGGGATGGCCCTTTGAGTATGCATATCAGTACATGGTGGCCTGTGAAAAGGCACAAAAAGAGAAGGCAGAGGTTTTACACCTCCAGGAGCTGGTTGGAGAGACCACATCTGAAGGCAGCGCCTTTGAAATGACTGCACAATATGAAGTCAGTGAGGAGAGCTGGAAAGTGAAGGAGCCATCGGTGTTTAGTGGTGCAGTCATTAGAGAAGACTTTTACTGACTCATCAAGAAATATTTATTGCTACAGTAATCAGGACATAGACTGTCTTCCAGGAGCTTCAAACTGGGGAGAGAAACAGACATTCAAACAGATTTCTGTACACAGAGTGGCAAGCACAATGGAAGAGGTCCAGGCAGGGTGGTACCGACACAGCTTGTGGGGTCTTGGTCAGTGAAGGTCCCTGTGGTTGGACGTCTGCCAGGCACGTGCTCCTGGCCGCACCCCCTGCTGGAAGCACCACCCACTCGGCAAAGTGTTAGTTCACTCAGCAAACACCTATTTTTACTCCTCAGACTTAGCACAGCTGTGAGCACCTACATCCCCCCGGGGCGTCTTCCATGTTCCACGCTATGCTCCATCTGTACCTTCTATATTTTCATTAAAGTAACGATTTTGCTATATTACATAGCCCGTTTGCACATCTGTCTTTGCAACAGAGTGTGAACTTCTCGATGGTGGGAGGATTGATTCTCGTTTGCAAATCTATTTCAAATCCTTCCTGTCTTCTCTGCTCTACTGTGACTACCCGCAGTGAACTGTACCATCTCTAGTCTGGATTATTGCCACATGCTCTTAACTGGCCTTCCTGTCACCACTCCTGCTGTCCTGTAGTCGTTCTCCACGAGGAGTGTTCTTGGGAAAACATAAATCACATCAGGATATGCATTGCTTAACGATCCCCCGATGGCTTTCTCTGGCACGGAGAATAAAATGTGAACCCCGCTCCAGGGCTCCCAGGGCCCTGGAGATGTGGCACCTGCCATTCTCTCTGACTTCCTGTCTTATTGTTCCTTCTCTATTCTCCCACTCTGTTATTCTCTCCTAGAACACTTACCCTGTTTCTATTTATGGTTCTGTTTCCATGTTTACTTGTTCAATATTTCTTTTCCACTATATCTACGTGTCTCAGTGACAGTGACCTTATGTGGCCTGTTCCCTGCTCTCTCTCGCATGGCTGGCTCAGTGCCTGATGCATCATAAAGATACCCAGAGTAAACGATCAGTGACTCAGTGAAGGACCAAGAATAGATGGCTCTAGAGCCGGGCATCCCAAAGATTTAAAAATGATAATAGTTACTCTGCACAATGGGATAAACTGCAGATAACTGGCCCAGAATCCTCCTGTTTGCTCTGAGGGCTTAAGAGGTAAATCTCTTGGCCTCCCTTTTCCCAGATCTCTGATTGGGAAGCTCTGTTCTAGGGAACCAGCCAGATGAGGTCATGAGGATCACTCTCTAGCATATGTGCACCCTGATGCCAGAGATGACGGGTGTGAGGTCAAAGACATTTGGGACCTGGGACCCTTTACTGCAGTGCTTACACCTGGGCAAACGTCTCCTCAAGCAACAGAATATGAAGAAACTGTAAGGGACTAAAAATAATTGCACGCATGTGCATTTGGGGCAAATTATGAACAGCAAAGCTACAAAAAGGTCAAAACCCAGCTGCCACTGCTGAGGTGCCGGGAATAAAAGGAGGGATAGGCTGGGACCTGGGACCCTTTACTGGAGGGCTTGCCCCTAGACAAAGTCCCCTTGAGCGACAGAATACAAAGAAACTACAAGAGAGTAAAAATAACTGCACGCATGCTCAGTTGGGGCAATTATGAACAATAAGATAGAAAAAGGCCACAAACCAACTGCCACTTCTGAGTGCTGGGAGCAAAAGCAGAGTACTGTGCATGATCCCTACACGCAGCACCACCAAGGGGGCAGGCAGACGAGGTAAGCCACTCCTCCCACCCGACCTCACTCCGATCAAGGGACCAGCTCACGCCTGCCTCGGGGAGCGAGCAGGGTCCCCTCTTACTTGTTTTGGCTCCTGACACTGCAGCACGAGTCCCAGTAAGGTCTTGCCTGCATTTCTCGTCTGGCCTCGTATCAATTTCTACTGATTAAAGGGTCCAAGAACACGGGTCGGTATCAATAATGGGCCGTATTTGTGCACCTGCAGGGTTGCTAGGGCCCTTGGATTCCCGGATTCCCATAGGATTAGCCTGGGTCGCTGTGGTGAACATAGAGGTGCGCTGCCCAGAGCTCTTTTCCGAGAACGGCTTGCTGCCCAGCGGTGGGGCGTGGTCAGCACCCAGTCCCGGGCCCCAGCGACCTCAGGGTCTGCCTCATCTGCCGGGAGCCGCCTTCTGGAAGCCACGCCCTTCTTGGGGCACCCACATCTGGTGACAAAGCAAGATGGGGGTGTAAAAGTCCAGCCGAGCCCAGGCGGGACACCTCTGAGAGGTCATAGTCACCCACGAGCCTCCTCCAGGCGGGCTGGGCTCACCAAGCCTGCTCTGCTGCACCGTCTCCCTCGGCCTGTCCTGCATCCTTGCCCTTCCTTTCTCAGGGGTTTGTCCCTAATACACATTTTACATCTCAACAGGTTGCCTCTCAACAGTTTGCAGCTTAGAGTCTATTTGCAGAGAACCCAGCTCCTGACAGGCAGCTTCACAAAATGGAAATCTGGAAAAGAATTGAGGGCTCCCCTGGTGGCGCAGTGGTTAAGAACCCACCTGTCAATGCAGGGGACACGGCATCGAGCCCTGGTCCGGGAAGATCCCACATGCCGCGGAGCAACTAAGCCCGTGCGCCACAACTACTGAGCCTGCGTTCTAGAGCTTGCCAGCCACAACTACTGAGCCTGTGCTCCGCAACTACCGAAGCCTGCGTGCTTAGAGCCTGTGCTCCACAACAAGAGAAGCCACTGTGGTGAGAAGCCCAGGCGCACAACGAAGAGTAGCCCCCGCCCGACACAACTAGAGAAAGGCCCACATGCAGCAACGAAGACCCAATGCAGCCAAAAATAATAAATAAATAAAATAAATTTATTTTTTAAAAAAGAATACAATACAGTATTGTTAACCAAAGATACCATGCTGTACATTAGATTCCCAGACCTTATTCATCTTATAACTGAAAGATTTTACCTTTGACCAACATTTTCCTCCACCCCTCATCACTTGGCAACCACCCTTCTACTTTTTATTTCTAGGAGTTTGATGTACAAAAAGAGCAAAAAAAAAAAAAAAAAAAAAAAAAAAAAAAAAAAAAAAAAAAAAAAAAGACTGCGAGACCCGGGGAAGAGAAGGGGAAGGGCCTGGTGGGTAGCTTCATGGTTTAGAGGGTGGGAGGGTGGGGAGTAACTAGACCTGCCGGGGCAGGGAAAACTGACCTGGCAGAGGGATGACAAGGCAGTAAAAGTAAAGACAGAGCTAGGGGCCGGCTATTGAGCATCTTGTGTTGGGTGGTGACCAGGAAGGCCATATATGATTAAAGTAACTCCGGAGCAGGCGGATTCTTGTGGCCGCTCACCAACAGTTAGGAAATAGAGCCTGGGAGCTCGGCCTGCAGTGGACTTGCTCTTTCTCCATCACTGAAAAGCTCTGTGGTTTCCACAAGTCCTTTCATATAGGCTACCTCGAGTGCTTTTTGGAGGAGGTGAAGCGTAGATCATACATGAGATGAGCGTGGAGGACGTTGCCTTTGCGGCAAAGGGTGAGCCGCGGGAAAGCTTTGGGGCTTATAAATCTGTCTTTGGGGGCTGCCCAGGGGACCAGCTGATTTTGATTTAAAACCTAAACACACTACCTACTACAGCTGTCCGTGTGGAGCCCCTGCTTGCTCCCGATGTTTAAGCTAGAGGAAGAGGTCGGGGATGGGGAGAGCCCGGGGACAGGGGTGTGTGTCCAGCCGTGCCCTGGGAGCAGTGAAGGCGCACACCCAGCCACCAGCCACTCCATCAGAGGTCTGCTTGCACATCAGAGACCCCCTGCCTTTCATAGTTTTTAGCTGCTCAAGATAAAAGATCAAAATCAGCTGGTCCCCTGGGCAGCCCAGAATGTGTTTATCAATGGCATGCTGTCACTCAGGGTTGAGTCTTTCTGTCTGTTTTCTCATCGGGCCTCGTAAAAAGGCTCCAGGCGGCTGCATTCTCATTCCAAAGGTCAGAAAAGAAACTGCATTCTAGACACTATCCCTTTAATTCTCCTAGAAATTTATAAGAAAAGCTGTCAGGCAGAAATAAACGGTAACGGCAACCTGATACCCAGTGTCTGAGGCAAATGTGTAGGTTTTGACTTGTGATTCAGATCTTGACTCATTTTGACCCTGGTTTCTGAGAGATTGCAGGTTAATTTCTGTGGTCACACAGGAAACATTAACTTTATAAGAACTGATTATAATCAGCCGATTATAGCTCATTCATCCCTAGACTAGCTTCACAAAATGGCTGCCTCAATCAAAGCAGGCTGCCAGATGTATTTTATTCAAGTTAAATAATTAAAAAGAAAAATTAGAGTGGGGACTTCCCTGGCCGCCCAGTGGTTAAGACTCCACGCTTCCACCTCAGGGGGCACGGGTTTGATCCCACATGCTGTGCGGTGCAGCCAAAAATAAATAAATAATAATTTTAAGAAAACTTCTATTAAAAAAATTAAAATTTTGAGTGAATATTTAGAATTGGCAGAATTCACAAAAAAATCAAGAGTTCTGGCTTCTCTTGGAAATGGGGGTCTCGGGGACCCTGAGCTGGCTTCCCGACGTGGGAACAGTGATGCTGAGTGCAGGCTGCCCTCTCTGAATGGGACCGCTCTCTCCACTTCTGCTTCTCTCCGCACCACTACCTGGAACCTGCTTGATTCC